CTATTTTAAATAAGACACCTCATTATGGAGATAAAAGGAATAGGAGCTGGACCTATGGGAGGACCTCTGGGAACTGGTTGTAGCAGGTGACCTGGTGCTGGGCCAGGTGTAAGTGACGGCCATGGGATGGTGCTCAGGGACAAGGTGGGCCGTCGAAGATGGGGTTCTGCAGGGGTTTGAGCCGGGAGAGCTAATTCTTGATATGGGAACCTTGAATCTGGTGTGACTGGATGGATGTCCAGTCAGCAACATGTCTGGGAAGGAGGGGCCACCAGGAAAGTCTTCAGGGACTCTCTTTTAAGGGGAATTGTTTTACATAAGGGGACAGTGAAATACTGAATTTTGGGCCTAAACTGGCAGGGGCAGGTAATAAATACAAAATATGACTTGGGGAACATATTAAGTAAGTGTTGTGAAGACAATGTTGTCTTAAAACATAGAAAGAGATGGGCCAAGGGATTACAAAGAACAATAAAGAAAGGCATTAAGAAGGGATGTGTCACAAAACATAACGTATCACATCACAAACAAAAATACCCAAACTAGAAACTGCATTACAAATGATCCTCTGGGACAGAGTCTGTGGCCCCTTCAGGGGGATCAGCAAGGTTATCTCTGACTGGGCCCACTGCTATTATTGCTGCCATCACCCTGATAGCCTCCAAGGGCACTTCATCCTCTGTGGTGCTGTGAGCCATGAATGGATGCAGAACTTCCCGAGGGATGGTCCTCAGAACACACACGGGCCCAGGCTTGGGTAGTTATAACCGCTTGGCAAGAGGGAAAGAGACACCAAGAAGACTGCGAATCCAGACGCCTGGCATAGAGGCAGGGCACACTCCTGTCTTCAGCACGCGGCCTGCTGCAGCTGCACCTCTTTCCTGGTTCCCACTATAATCTTTCATTTCCGTGAATGAGAGCTGCCTGCAGGGATACCATTAGTTCTCAAAGCTCAGGGCAAACAAAGAGATCTAGTTCTCCTTCCACGCACAAGGTCTAGTTGATGCTTTGAGGACCTTGGGCAACTGAGAATGCAAGTGACATTCCCTTTGGCAAAACTCCACCTAGACCTGCAGCGAGCTGACCCTTACCACCTATTCAGGATTACAATCTCTGAATGCAGCAGAGAGGACAAAACTCATGGAAGAGCAAGACACACATGCCTGGCACTCGGGTTGTTTTCTGGGTGCAAAGCCTTCCTTCCTCCCTTTGCTGCCAGCTGAGCTCCCGATAAGCCCCTTTGCCAGTGGTGAGGGAGGCTGGTAAACAAGCTTTGAGTTTATGCTCAGTGAGTGCCAGGGGCTGTGAGAAGTATGGTTCTGCCCTCAGGGAGCCCATATTATTTCTGGGAAGACAAGACCAACCCACAGAAGAAGACAGAGACTGGAAAGCCATAGCCCAAGCAGAGATGATTTGGTCAAGGTCTAAAAGGCTGGTGGAAGCAGAGCCAGGGTCTGGGGTGTCCATCTGTGCACAGCTGGGGAAGGCCACCAGCATGCTGGGAAAGCCTGGGTCCACAATCACAAGGGGTTATTGTGATGGAAAATGGGACACCTGCCCTGGGCCTTACTGGAGCCAGGAGCAGTCGCTTCTCAGGCCCTGGGAAGGAAGGGAAGGCTCTGATTGTGAGCAGGGTCCCTTGCTTCTCCAAGACAGCTGGCTGGGAGAAGCTTACTGCCACGAGGGCTGGCGACGGTGCGACTGGAATACTCAGGGGAGACGGGAGGCCCCTGAGCATGATGGACTGTTTTCACTGCACTGCAATGCCCTCCTGCCTGCAGGAAAATGACTTGGCAGAAGTACAAGTATTTGAACTGCCAAACTGCTTGTGAGAAGTCAACTCGGGGAGGGGCCTCTGTTCTCCCGACAGTTACACCTGGCACCGGCCTGCAGACATCTCACTTACAGCTGGGCCTGAGGGTCTGGGGAACCATTGCAGCTCCTCATCCTGACATTCATAATCTTGACTGCTCACCCTACCCTACCCCTGACCTCTCCAATCTGGCTTCCCACTTCTCCCCGGCCCAATCCCTGTGCAAGCCACACTGGCTTCCTTATATTGTTCACTGGTGCCCTGAATGGCCTCCCCTCTCTGTGCTCCTCTCCCATTCTACATGGAGCAGGCTTCGCCCCACACCTGTTTCAAGAAGAGCCCACGCTTCCCCCTAGGGACTTGACAAGTCTCCCAGTGAGGGTCAGCCCGCTCTATCTGCAGTGAGCAAAGAAAACCAGCAAAACATGGCTCAGTCCAGTTTACCCTACAAAGCTGGGAGAGGGGGCTAGAGAAGAAATGCACATCTGGGACCAGCGGTGGTTTGCTCACCCCTGGGGGAAGGGGCACTTCCAGCTACAAGCCTGTAGCTCTGGCCAGGGGTAGAAGGGAGAGCAGGCCCCAAGATGGGTTGGTCAAAGGTGAGGGCAGCCCAAGTGGAGGAATTAAGTACGCTGGTAAGCTGGAAGGAGAGGAGATTCTTCTCCAGGTCTGGAGGCTGGAACAGGAACAGGAGGAAGGCACTTGGACCCCTGCTATACACATCAGAGAACCTGGAGGATCTGTCTATGGTCTGAAATCCTGCAGGGATGACGGCTGGGGAGAGAGACTTAATGGCTGACTACAGGGGGTAAGCTGGCGGGCGGACAGGAGCAGTGCAGAGTCCAGTGTCAGCTTCTGCCAACAAAGGCGGGCTGGCCGAGGCAGAAAAGCCACCATAAAGTACTTAATTCTGATGTTACACAGACTTAAATCATGTTGCCTGACACAGTGAACTGATGCAGGGAGTTGCTGATTGCCTTTTTCTCTGTTCCACAGAAAGTATTTTTTACCAAGGTCTCACTCACCATGCATTTGTCCCTTCATCGCTTGCCAATCACCTGCCTTGTGCCTGGCCCTGTGCTGGGCACTGGAGACGAAACAGCACATGGGCAAAGTCTCTGCCTTCAGGAACTCACTGTCTAGAGCTGTAAATAGCACCATGCACCAGAGGGTAGGTGCCCCACGCATTCTGCACACACAGGGCTGAACATTATTAAAATGGTTTTCTTTGTATACATTTAACACCGAAACAAGTACCAACTGTGTTAGAAAATTACATTTAAATGTAGGTACAAAAATGTAATCCCAAATCATAGGTGCCTCATTTATCAAAGACAAAAACCATTGGGGCCATTCTCCAGATAGGGCTTTGTTTTGCTTTTTAACTTAAAATCTCATTGTGAGCTTATTCCATGCTTAGAAAGGTTTTATATTCTTTCCAGGCTTTCTCTTCAAAAGCTAGGCCTTCAATGGGGCCAGTCCTTGTAAGTTAAAATAAAACAAGTTGAGTTCTTCATTCAGATCGCTTTTCATCCATCCATGCATCCACCCATCCATCCAATTATTCATTCATCCAATGACTATTTCTTGAGCATCTACCACTGGGGCCAGATATGTGCTAAGCCTGAGGAATTCGGTGGTGAACAAGAGCGAGAATCCTGCCTCCAGGGTCCTTAGGGTCTAGTGAATTATCCCCAACCAGAGCTCAGGCTTCCTGAGCTTGGGAACACAGTTTCCCATTCTGGCTTGTCCCTCTTTCTCTGTTTCTTGCTTAATCCTAAACAGACTGACACAAAGATGTCTCTATTTTGTTCTTTTTGTCTCATATGTCTTACCTGTGGCCCCGCTACTGAGCATTTCATCTTCTCTACTTTGCTCAAAGGTAAATGACTCAAGATCTGTCCAGAGTTGGGTCTAATTACCCCATCCCATCCTTCTAGTTGAAAGGTTAATGGGGTTAGGCTGTACAGAGAGGAGCACTTTAAGAGCTGCCTTCTGAGGGAAGCGACCCCAGATATCCTTGCTTTGGACCACGAGTTCCTGCCCATCTGGCCCTGATGAATTGGATGAGAAATAAATGCCTAACCAAAAGGCAGTCATTCAGGGTCTGACAGTGCCTTACATGGTGACCTGGTATCAGTCTGCCCATAGGGATGTGAGTGACTAATGCAACTAATCAGGCCCTCTCTAGGGAAATTTAAGGATGAAAGATAGATAGATAGATAGATAGATAGATAGATAGATAGATAGACAGACAGATAGATGATAGACTATAACAAGGGGCCTGAAGCTTAAGGATACACCAGGAGCAGGCAGTCAACAGAAGACACAAAGTGGAGGACTCCATGAAGCATCATTTAGGAGTAAGCAGTAGCCTAGGGCAGCATCAACACATGAAGCAGAAACAGGAGCAGCTGAGCAACCAAAATGGCGGCCTAGGTAACTCTAGCATCCCTGTTCTGTCCCTGGAACTATTGATGTCCCCACTGGAGCTATTGTTATTCTATAAGCCATCCAATTCTCTGTAAGCTCCATCTATGCAGCGGGCCTTGCCTGTTTGCTTCCCCTTAGCTCAGGGATAAACCTCCACCACCTAAGGGTAGCCTGAACCTTTGTTCCGTCTCTGTATCCTAAGGATCTAAACTAACACAGAAATCCACCTCCATCAAAAGCCATTGCTTCTCCATTCCCAGAGCCAACATTTTAGAAACCTTTCATCCAGAGGCTGGCTTCTGGATCTCCAACCTCTGCCTGGTCTCTGTGCAAGCCTAAGGAAGGACCATGCTGACCTTCCCTGGGTGTTGAGTGATGATGGAACACATGAAATGCACCAGCTAGACTCAGCATCCTTGGATAAAGTGAATAGGCTTCCTGGCCATTGCTGCTGAGCACTGTGGATAACTACTATTGTTTCAAAGTTGTCATGAGATTTGAGAAAAGGCACACTGGACAAACTGGGCACATGACCTGAGACGAGTTGCCTCAGACATTCTCAGTTGTAAAATGGGGAAAATATATCCCCTAGGAGTTGTGAGAATCAACAAGCTACTCTATTTCTTGCAGCAGAGTGACTGCCCTTTGTAAAGCCCTCTAGTTATGTGTTGTGATGGTTTGAGGCTAGGTCTAGTACCTTCTACACACCAGGCCCCCCTGCCTTCACTCTACAGGACGATGATAGGAGGCCCACCTTGCCAGCCAGGCTTGCAGACTGGCTTCACGTCCACCTGCACCAGTGTGTCCTGAGCAGCGGGCTTCTGTCCACAGTCGTAGGCGGTCACTAGGATCTCGTACTGGTGTTGCTTGTCATAGCTCAGCTTCTCGGTGTTCCGGATATTGCCTGAGGAGGACACAAAGATATTCAAAACCATTTCACATCAACACTGTAGTTCTTCAAAACCCCTTCTCCACTCCTCCAACCTTCACCAAAATGAAATGACCCCCTTCCCGATCTCTTTGTAAAAACAAGGGCAATGGGGCCATGGCTTCCACACTCAGCCTGCTTGTGCCTTGGTGACAGATTCCCAGGACCCATTGGCTGGAACCACCCAGGCTGTGAGATGGAGCTGCTAGGGAATTCCAAGCACATATTTGGAACCCAACTAGTTTGTGTTGGTAAGCAATGGGTTGTTGGAAAACTCCCTCTGAAAGTGCACCCCTGTGGCTGCATCCCTGGTGTGCAAGGTGCATGGAACTCATCAGCCATGAAACCTCTGGGAAGAAGATGGAATTCAGAAACGTCCTGACACACATTTTTTAACATCTGGGCTCATCGCCAGAAATGTTCACTGCCTCTTCTTACATTATTTTGCTACCAAATAGGAAGTAAAATCAATATGAAAACGTGTGACCTCCCTTCCAAAAGCTACACAGAATAACAGATTCCTTGCCCTGGTGGCAAAGGCATTTTTCTTCTCCAAGAGAGACTGAACATTTATCCTGAGCCATTTGTGTTGTTTTTATTCCTGTAGGTTTGGTATTATGATTCAGAAATAAATATGTGATAATTACCGAGCAACACTTTAATTGACTATTTTTAATGAAATACAGTTTGGGTTCCAAGAAACTAATATAGGCCCAACGTGCATTTCATATTTCTTAGTTTTTGATTCCAAGAGACTAGAGCCTTCCTTTGTTGAGAGCAATTTCATTCTTGCTTGCTTTCTGATGGTGGAGCTGACAGCAAATTAGAACTCAAATGTTATCATTATCCTTCACCAGAAGTGAAATTAAGAAAATTGAAATAAAAAAAAAACAAAACAAAAAACCCCAACAAGCAAATAAACAAATATGGAATGGCTGACTCAGGCATGTTTTTAGATTTCATCCAAACTAAGGGAAAAATACCTAATGAGATTTCTTGCACTCCAACTGACGCATGCTGTTCATGTGAATTGAGACAACAGAGACCAAGGCAAGAAAGCTTGGAAAATTAGAAAAGTCCCATAATGTTGTGTTTTTTTTAGAAATTTTCGAAATAGCAATACTGAATTATTTTTTTTAAGAGTTTATTGGGGAATTGGGAGAGGGGAACAGCATTGGGGAATCGGGGAAGGGGAACAGACAAGTTGCTGTCCTTTTGTTCTTCAGTCTAGTTGTGGAGGACGTCGCTTCACTGGCCCATGTTGGTATTATCATTGTGCTCTTCCTGGGTGAGGCAGATCAGTTGCTGGCCTCTGGACGGCTGCTCACGATGACTCATGGCAGCTCACCCCGGCTGCCAGCTGCTCACGGCAGCATATGGCAGCCCACTGCAGCCCCTCTGCAGCTGCAGCCTATGCTGTTGCCGGCGACTCACGGCAGCCCAGCTCCAGGTTGAGCTGTTGTTCACTATCTTAGCTGTAGAGGGCGCAGCATCACTGGCCCTAATGTGGGATCTGAACCAGGGTCCTTCTGCTCAGAGCTGGCTCTCCCAAGCCAGCTTTTAACCAACGCGCCACTCGGCTGGCCCTCCATAGTGTGAGATTGGAAAAGTTGATCCACCAATCACCCAATATTAGTTAAACGGTACTCAGGATGAGGCCCTGAGCAGGTACCACAAACGAGAGCACATGTGAGTGTGGGAGGAGGGGGGAGTGGTGGAGAGTGCTGATGAGGAGGGGTGGAGTTGCCCAAGGCATGAACCAACCATTAGAATCATTTGTTCCACTGTCTGCTCCGGACTTTTTTTGAAAATGCAGCTGCCTCCGTGCATTTGAAGTAAAATTTACGTTAACAAAGCCAGTCAAAAATCTCTGAATAAAAATGGGTTTGATGTCTTTTTTGGCCTTGTGGCTGGTGTTCAGAATCCCTTTCATGTTCCCCCAAATATTTGTTCCAGTCTCCGCTTAGGGCCCACACAGGTCTGGGACAGCTCAGTGTTGGGTTGGTAACATTTCCTATGGGTTCTTTGAACAAACTAGTTTGTGGGTACAGTTGTCACAGGGGAGGAATTCTGTCAGGTGGAGGCCCTGTAATATAACCATGAGGAGGAGGTTTCAGCAACATCAAATTGAATTTTCAACAAAAAGTTTTAACTTTCTCTTTCTTTAAAGTTAAATGGCTCTCAAAAGAGACCTCTCTTCGAAGAGGAAGGCTTAAGGTTTACAATCCGTGTGACATTAAGCAGACCAAACACGATCGATGGTGGTAGAAAAATAAACACACAAGCCGGCAATCCTGGGCTCAATTTGTTGCAGCTCCTCTTCCGTAACTGTCTTAATGAAACTGTCTGAGAAACTAATTTACTTTCTCTGCCACCACCACCTTCACACATGTGAGAATGGGTCTCAGAGCAGAATTTGCAGCATTAGGTAAAAAACGAGAGTGTAAAATTATGACCAACTGTTGTGTGGGGGAGGGTAATACTTGGATAAGACATAAATTGAAAATTTTTCTGATAGCTCAGGAGAAGCCATCCATTTTGTTACAGTTATACTTTTCCCCCCCTCACATTTGAATGATTTCTCCTAGTAGCAGTGCCTTCTTAGGAGACCTGAGTCCACAGTTAACCCAGGTGAGTAGCTGTCCCTGGGCCTGCTCCCCTGTCCCAATGAACCTGGGAAGCTAACTCTCAAGAAACAAACAGTACCTACCTTGCATATTGGTGAAGGTAGTTTTTGAAAATTCAGGTGGGGCGGGGGTGTGGGGAGTGGGGTGTATGTGTGCGGGGTGTGGGGTGCAATCAGACAAACACAGTGGCCTGCACACTCCT